CACCATAACAATTGTTTTTATTGTACAGAGTATTAGTCCAATAGAATGTGAATGGTTTTATAACCTTTAAAGTCTATGGTTAAAATGATTGTTTCTCATTTGGTCTCATACTTCAATTTCTTCTAAGAAACATGGATAGATGTACCTGGCTACACACATAAAATTAGTTAATTCATGTTCCTATTGTCTTATAGTCAACTTTTTGCAAGTTGAGCAAAGCAATGACAATTCCATCCAGGAGAACACATGCCATAAATCTCAGTATTTGACATGCCGTGTTTTATTTTATAATCTTGGCCAAATAAAAGTTGTGAAAAACAAATACAACCTTCAAATCTTCTCTTGCTAGTAACAATTGTTTTACATACGACTAAAGAGTTGATTTAAAAGTCATGAAAGTCCGGGTACGTGTTAAAGGACAGTTGAAGTACAATCAGTAATGGAAGCCTCTAAAATTATAGCTTGGCCAATGCAATGTTTAACGTTTTAAAATATTTTTTAGTAGAAAAATATGTTTTTCTCCATGGGAGGTTCCACTAATCTATTTCGCAACGATACCTTGATTTTATTAACTCAGACCTTTACACAGCAAAATGATTTTCTTTTTTATGAAGCCATGAAATTAACAAATGTTTTTGTAAGGGGACGTTCTGGGCATATTCACTTGGAAACAGCCCGTAGAGAAAACATATGATGTTTTCTGGGATTGTGGCTGGAGTAGTAGTTAAACGCCACGCGAACCGAGAGCGCATTACCGTAGACATACCTTGTCCTTGGGTTACTCCGTAAAATTCAGCTGCTATCCTCGCTGCTTCCTTGCGATTGCCTTTCACGATGTAGAAGTGACTGAGGATGGCAAGACTGATTTTCACAAAAAGCTTGAAACAGAAGAGGGAAAGGATCGTGAAGTAGACATTGGATAACTGTTGAGCAAATGGCCGGCTTTCTTCTAACACCGACATTGCTGCACCAGAGTGTGCGGGGCTCTCCGCTCCGAGCCAAGTCTCAAATGTGCCTGGCTCTCGTTCGGGATGCTCCTGAACAGCTGGTCCTGAGGGAGGAAAAATGTCAGCTGATGATGATGCCCCGAGCTCAAAGTATTTATACCATCCATAAAAGTTCTCTGCAAACTGCTATTGGTCTGACGATGTTCCCTGGAAGCAATTGCAACACATGCTCGGCTCACCAAGGCTCCTGACTTTCCATTCTCAGTATAAAATGCCCCCCCCACCCCCCCGCCTCTCTGCTCCGAATTTCAAAACCCAGACACTGAGATTCATATAAAGATGATTTCCTTTCTCGGCATCTACTTATCATGAACACTTTGAAGACTGTGTATGGGGTTCCAGTTGTTAATGTCAACAATTTTCATACTATCGGGTAAAATTCAGTCCATCACTTCAAGCCTTTAAAGTGGCCTATTTGTAGACCAGGAGCTAAATCATCAAATAGTCCATGACTGGATGGTCTTAATGACTAACTCATCAATTGACCAATTATGTTGCTTTCACTGTTGTCAGAAAAAAATTTTTTTTCTTATAAATGGATAGACTGGAAACCCACAGAATAATAATTTTAGACTGTTCATTCATCTTTTTTTTTTTTTTTAAAGATTTTATTTATTTATTTGACAGAGAGAGACACAGCGAGAGAGGGAATACAAGCAGGGGGAACAGGAGAGGGAGAAGCAGGCTTCCCGCGGAGCAGGGAGCCCGATGTGGGGCTCGATCCCAGGACCCTGGGATCATGACCTGAGCCGAAGGCAGACGCTTAACGACTGAGCCACCCAGGTGCCCCTAGACTGTTCATTCATCTTGTGAACACTTATTTATTTTTGTGAACCTTTTTAAAAAAATTATTTACTTATTTATTTATTTTTTTGTGAACAGTTTTTAAGCACTCACCAGTGGTCAGATATTTTACTGGATGCTGGTGAGACAAAGAATGTAATGTCCCTGCCACAAGGAACCATAGTCTAGAGGAGGAAACAGATACCAGATAAATACAGGTAAGGAGAGAGTGCCATGGGAGCACAAAGAGGAAGGTCCTAATCCTCCTTGGGAAGGGTCAGAAAAGACTTCTGGAAGGAGGTGGCCTATTCAGAGAATTATCAAACAAGCACGAGTGTTTTATATAGTCTGTCCGAATCCAAGCAAAACAATGTACTTTTTAGGCCTGTAGTCTTTAACCCTAGTTTGATTTAATTTGTGAATGAATGCAAATGTCTATAAGGGCATCCTTAGGCAAGCAATATATTTATATACATTTAGGCAAGCTCTATATTTATTTTTTTATTTAAATTCCATTAGCCAACATACAGTACATCATTAGTTTCAGATGTAGTGTTCAGTAATTCATCCGTTGCATATGACACCCAGTGCTCATCATATCACGTGCCCTCCTTAAGGTCCATCACTTGGTTACCCCATCCCTTTCCCCTCCCCTCCAGCAACCCTCAGTTTGTTTCCTAGAGTTAAGAGTCTCTCATGATTTTTCTTCCTCTCTGATGACTTCCCATTCAGTTTTCTCTCCCTTCCCCTATGATCCTCTGCGCTGTTTCTTAAATTCCACATATGAGTGAAACCATATGATAATTGTCTTTCTCTATTTGACTTATTTCATTCAGCATAATCTCCTCCAGTTCCATCCGTGTCGATGTAAATGGTGAGTATTCATCCTTTCTGATGGCTGAGTATATATATATACCACAACTTCTTTATCCATTCATCTGTTGATGGACATCTTAGCTCTTTCCATCGTTTGGCCTTTGTGGACATTGGGGTGCACGTGCCCCTTCGGATCACTACATTTGTATCTTTGGGGTAAATACTTAGTAGTATAATTGCTGGGTCGTGGGGTAGCTCTATTTTTAACTTCTTGAGGAAACTCCATACTGTTTTCCAGAGAGGCTGCACCAGCTTAGGCAAGCTATATTTTTAAAAGAGAAATAAAGCAAATTGTTAAGAAGAAATTTATAAAGACAATATTTTCGCACTTAAGTCAAAAATAAAATGCCAAGATAAAAAATGGCATATTATACAGGGAGCTTATTCATATGGTTTTATGACCAGGTTTGGAGTCTGTTCATTATGTATTGCTTCCCCATCCTTCTGAGAGGCTCCGAAATAATAAATATTAACATAGACTTTAGAAAATAGAAGTGGCTCCCTATGATAAAGGAGCATATCGCTGATTGGACCTGCTGGTAAGTGTTGCATGCTTATCTGCCTTGGTAAATGCTTTTTATGCTGTTCATCTTATCTGATTGGAGCGATTTACATGAAACATTCCTAAGACAAAGGAGACATGGATGTAAAAATAAATATGTCCAGTGAAGCAGACTTCTTTCCCCAGTGACTGCGTGGCTCCCAGAAAAATATAAATTAGGTCAGTATATTAGAAGGAGATTCCCGAGCTCTCCCTGAAGATGGCCAGTAGGATGGTTTTCACAGGCTGAGCACTAGACCGTGTGAGTGGCCATTACCCAGACTGGGAGTATGCACTTTGGGAATCAGTGACAGTGAACCTCGAGGTATTGGAGAGAAAGGCATGAGCCGTTTTTCTCTCTCACTGGTGGTGAGTCATGACATGACGGTCCCCTCCCCGTTAGTCTTCCCTCTGGCAAGGGCACCAGGCGTGAGTGCACCCTGGGGGCCCGTCCGCAGACAGCTGCGCCGTCACAATGCTCTGAGTCACTGCCCTGAACACTTCAGCATCCAAGTAAAACCCGCCTAAGTGCACGGCTAGGGTTTCACTCCTTCCTCTTTACCAGTAAGTGCTATTATAAATTATTACCTCCACCTCAGCTAATCAGGGGCCTGGATACTTTCGGGTTGAGGAATACATTTATTTCCATAAGGCTGCTATCACTGGGGCACTGAGTTTCAAGTCCTGTGGTTTTACCAGGAGAAAATCACTCCTGCCCGATATTTAGGATTTGATGTCAAGATGCCAGGTTTTATTTGAAGGAATTCCTTTATCTTTACCTCTGTTTTCTGTGTTGGTATACACTCTCCTTTGGCAACGCTTACCATCTCTAATTACCACTAAAAATTAAGGCTAAATAAAATAACTCACAGTAAATGAAGTCATTAAATAGAAACTAGATGTTGTATTTTTCACATTATGGACCCTTGTAAATAACACCAGGAATAACTTTATTAGTACTTAAAAGACTCATGAAAAGTACTGTGAGCCTATTTTCCTTGGCATTTTCTTAAAAAACAAAATATCGATGAGTAAACTTAAGTGATTTACTGAGATAAATACTTTTATTATTGACCATGTTGAGATGATGTGGTACGGGAATTTGGTTGGTTAGCGAGTACATCCCAACTGTCTTAATCTTGTTAGTTTCAGTCAATCAGTCAAACCAAAATTGAGCTCAACGATTGTGCTTCTAGAATGGATGATACGAGAGACATTAAAAACACAGGAAGAAATGATTCATTGAGAGTCCAGTATATGCTATATATTTTATATAAATCTTCTCGTTTACTCTCTTATTCCCTCTCAGCTTGACTATTATTGTTATTTACATTTTAAAGATGAAGAATGTTGGCTTCAGAGAGCTTTGGTGAGCTACACACATTCTTTATGAGGAACAGCACTGTTTGAACACAGATCTGACTTCAAAATATGTGCACAAGTCACCACTCATATTTTCTGTTTTTAAGCCTTTCCAGTCTGAACGAGCAAATGTGATTTATGCACACAGAGACTGAGACAGAGTCACACAGATTCACACATACAGTGAAGGGATCAGTCTAAGGCTGTATTTTATCAGGAGCCTGAATTAGTACCTGAACTGGTGGGGCAGGGTACATGTGTTCTGATGATTAAAGGAAACAGAATCTTGTGAGCTCAACAAATGGGAATAAAGGAAATGGGAGTATGTCATGACTGGGCTAACACTTGAGGATTATTCACAGCGAAGAGTTGGTGACGGGCTCCCATAAAAACAACACAGAAGCAGCAGAGAGGGGGCCTAAGGAGGAGGGTAGCGGAGAGTGAGTACATCAGAAACACTGAGTGTTCAAAACAGGGTCAAATGACTGAGTAGGAATGAAAAGAATGAGGATTGGAAGAAGGATATCAGGTCTGGCCAGAAAGGGTCACGGTGACTTTCAACTCAGTATTTTAATAAGGTAATGGGCTGGGGATGGGGATGTCAGCGATGAGGCGTAATCCTTAAAGCAGCTTCCAAAGGCAAAAAGGCTCCTTGGCTTCCTCTTTTTTTTCCCCCAAAGATTTTATTTATTTATTTGAGAGAGAGAATGAGATAGAGAGCATGAGAGGGGGGAGGGTCAGAGAGAGAAGCAGACTCCCTGCTGATCAGGAAGCCCAACGTGGGACTCGATCCCGGGACTCCAGGATCATGACCTGAGCCGAAGGCAATTGCTTAACCAACTGAGCCACCCAGGCGCCCTCCTTGGCTTCCTCTTGTCATCACCTTTCTAGGCACTGGCTCTGCTCATCTCCACCACCTAGGTGTCTGAGGAGAGTCCCCTCCATGGGCAGTCCCTGGGCCGCCCAACCTGTCTCCTGTCTAAGTTCTTGCACCATCCCATTACCACCTCAGGGAATGACATGAATTGGTATTTTTTTGGCATGTTTCAGAGACTTAATTTTGTGTCATGCAGATGTTGAATATGATGATGACTTTCACATGTGGCCAGATTACCCTTTAAGTCCTCATAGAACAGTCTCATTTCCAGAGATTATGGGGCTTAACCTCTTTTGACTTAGCTTCACTACTGATGCAAGTTATTAGACTGAAAATGTCAATGGGACATAAAAAGAGAAAGCCTCTTCCGAGTGCTTTCCAGTTGATCAACTTTAGCCTAAATATTTTTACGTAAAGGAAACACAGTCATCTCATACATAGGAATTTGAAATAAACATAGCAGTGTTTACACTTTACGTTGAAATCCTTAAAGGGAGTTGGTAACTGAATTTAGCTTTATCTCCGTTCAGTAGATTCTGTAGATTCTATTTAATTGGTTTGTCTTCACTTACCCAAAAGCTGTACTCAGGGAAAGAGATACTTGACAAAGGTGAGCCAAAGCACAGTGGCATAACTTCTTATAGAGACCTTGACATTGTGATGTAATGTTTCTGTCATCGATAACTACTGTAGTCACCGCAGCACCAATGATTCCGGCTTCTACTGGACATCTTTAATTATTGATGAAGGGTAAGTTCTCATAGACATCATAATCATCGTAATAATGACTATACTGGTAGTTGGGAATAGTTTGGTTGAGACCTATTATATTCTGTTTCACTGTACTACGTGGGAGTAAATACTTGCTTTCTTTCGGCCTCTATAGCCATACTTCCAGTATAACGGAACAAAAGAGGAGTTTCTGCTAGTGTTATGATAATCCACAAAAAAACCCCACATGTTATTCCTCAACTTATCATTGACTTAGATTTCACTGTGCTCTTTGGGGGAAAATCGGAACAGCCTCTATCCTAAAAATTGAGCCACGCTAAATGTCGTATATGTGGTCATCTCTCCCTAGGGGTTCCCTGAGGTGAAACAGATCGTCATGGATGTGTGGCCTCGGAAAACTTCACCGAAAGCTGGTTTCTCTACATATCTGAAGGTTTGAAGAGGAGATGCTATTTTTAAATTAACATACACTTATTGATAGCTACTACGTGCCAACCACCATTCTAGATATTTTATCTATTCCGATGGAGTTTTTGTTTTGTTGTTTATTTGTTTGTTGTTTCATTTTTTGGTAAACCTGGCATTTCTTTTTTTTTTTTTTTATTAAACCTGGCATTTCTTTAGAGGATCAGTCCACGCACTTGATATCCTGGCTCTAGAAAACAACACTTGACCAAACTAAGCCAACGAAAGGTATTTCAGGGACTTCTGCTGGAATTTTGGGAGAGACGCTCTAACTCAGCAGAAGTCAAGATAGCAAGATCTAAGTCTTAAAGTGCTAGGAGCTATCCTCGTCGGGAAGGAAAGGAATCAAACCAGCGCAAAGGAAAGCAGAGTCAAGCTTTGGAGACGTAGTATGGTGGCACCTTCATTTGAATATATACCTGAATCCAGGTGCACAGAAGCCGCTGAATCTGACAGTAATCGAAATAATAAATTTGTTGTTGTTAATTAAGCCAATATGCATTGAGGTTTGTCTCTCTTTTAGAGAAAAAGTCCTGATGAATTTGTTTCCTGGAGTCATTATAAAGAATAATGAGAGGGTTGCTGGGGTGGCTCAGTTGGCTAAGCGTCTGACTCTCGGTTTTGGCTCAGGTCATGATCTCTGGGTCGTGGGATCGAGCCCCGCATCTGGCTCCCCACTGAGATGGGAGTCTGCTTCTCTCTCTCTCTCAAATAAATAAATAAATAAACAAATCTTTAAAAAATAAAGAATGATGAGGTGTAGGTATCATTATCCCTTTTGTGCATCAGATGAAGACACAGAAACTTAAGGTAGGTAATTTGCACAAGATGATAGCTCTTAAAGTGCAGGTGCGGGGATTCCCACACTGTTCTTCTTGCTACAGTTCTGCTCACGTCATTGTTCACAGGTTAGAGGTGAAACATTCATATTGTCTCACTGTCCTCCCACTCTATCCCACCCTTTGATTTACAGCACACATTGTGCCATGTTGGGGTTAGAAATAGTCTTTGGCTAAATACTTGTGTATTTCCAATGGAATATTATGCAGCCTTCAAAAGGAATGAGATCTTGCCATTTGCAACGACGTGGATGGAACTGGAGGGTATTATGTTGAGCGAAATAAGTCAAAAAGAGAAAGACATGTATTATATGACCTCACTGATATGAGGAATTCTTAATCGCAGGAAACAAACTGAGGGTTGCTGGAGTGGTAGGGGGTGGGAGGGATGGGGTGACTGGGTGATAGACACTGGGGAGGGTATGTGCTCTGGTAAGCGCTGTGAATTGTGCAAGACTGTTGAATCTCAGATCTGTACCTCTGAAACAAATAATGCAATATATGTTAAGGAAAAAAAAAAGAAGAAGAAGAAGGTAGCGAGAGGGGAAGAATGAAGCGGGGGAAATCGGAGGGGTAGAGGAACCATGAGAGACGATGGACTCTGAAAAACAAACTGAGGGTTCTAGAGGGGAGGGGGGTGGGAGGATGGGTTAGCCTGGTGATGCGTATTAAAGAGGGCATGTTCCGCATGGAGCACTGGGTGTTATGCACAAACAATGAATCATGGAACACTTCATCTAAAACTAATGATGTAATGTATGGGGATTAACATAAGAATAAAAAAAAATACTTGTGTATTTCACTGAGTTAAAGCTAATGGGCCCCACCAGCATCTTTGGTATTAAGATTGTGTTCTAGCCATCTCATTTTAACAAACCACCTATTTTCAAGACTGGTTAAAAAGAAGCCTTTCCCTGTGGCATTGTTTTGAAATTCCAAAGGGTGGGGCCACATTAGAAGTGAAACGATGTACCAGTGTTGTTTCAGCCATTTCCAGCCAATTTCACCAGCTTTTATACGTATACACTTGTAGAAATTAATAACTGTCGTTTCTTCAAAGAGGTAAAACGTATCGCTTTCCCTGGGATGTGGTCAACTGGCTAATAAAATTGGAGTCTGTAAATGATCTGTTTAGGATCCTAAGATTATACTTTCTTTGACAGCATAGGTACTGCCTTATATGATCTCTTTTCAAATCTGTTTTTTGCCTGCAATTATGAGTCCCATTATTAAAGCATCTATCTCACATGTTGTGGGGCTTAAATGCAATAATGCATAGCACTTCGTGCTGCATGAAAAGAGCTCAGCAAATATTATCTGTATTGTAATGATTTCTATTATTTTGCTATTTAAGTTATTTAAATTAGAATTCATTGCGTCAGAGGCACTGAAATTTTGTTGTGTGCTTGTTTAACTAAATGTCCAACTTCCAGTGGTACTATACTTTCTGCCAACAATAGATGTGTACTCATACAAAAGAAATCAGACTCCCACCGGTGTTAGAAAATGTGCCCATTTCTACAGCCGGTATTCACAACCAATGTTAGATACAAAATAAATGATATAATTTTGTTTCAAGAGATGAAGGACAACTATAACTTCTTAGGATATTGATTCATCACAAATATTTTATAATACTTCATATATTTTCCCCGGTCCATAACAAAGGTATTCTGCAGTTTTGGACACACAGTGGGGGAAAGCAGGTACTTCGAGTCTCAGAAATAAAGCTGATCTCACATTGGGATTCATGGTTCCTGGGTTAAGAAACTAAGGTATTGGAAATGTAAAAATCTTCCCTGAATAGGTAATGGATGGCAATGATAATAAGAACGGTAATGGCAAAATGTATTTTGTTATATATTCTTATGACCCTAAACTGGTCTGTGAACAAACTGAAGTTGTACAAGAAACGGAAGGAAGACAGTGGAAGCTGTATGGCCATCAAAGAGGCTGGACATTTAGTCTGATGAGCATCTGGCAGCTGACATTATGTATGTCCCAGGATAGACTGGATAAGGTGGTGCAGAGTGCTAGGGCGAGGTCTATAGAAGACCCAGTTGTTCTAGTTATGAGCTGTCAAATTTGGGCGAGTTCCTTAACCCTCTGAACCCTGTCTCTTACCTGTAAAATGGGGTAATAAATCCTTCATGGGCTTGTAAAGGTGTATAAGAATTTTAATTTGCTTTTAAAGACAACACCTCAACTTATGAACCTCTGATTTCATTGCCCTTTCTAAAATAATAAACGAGCTTGCCCTCCAGTAATAACTGCAGTTCACCACTGCTAAATGTCTGCAATCTCCTTCTCTGATTTGCAAGTCAAGAAAAGGCTCTTTCATTCAACATCTACCTCTTGGGTGCGTGCACTGTGCACCAGGCTCTGCTGGGCGCTGGAATACAAAGCTGGACAAGGGAGATGAGGTCCTTGCTCTCACATGTTAAGCCCAACACCAGCTGACTCAGTCGGGGCTTGGAACAGACGAACCATCCAGTTTTTCACAATAGATTTTCTCGAAATTACGCAACTGGTTTTGCTCTTTTCTTTGGTGCCCAGAATGTAAAATCATCAAAAAGTCAAGAGAAGCCTTCATTTGAACACCAGAGCTTTTTTTATTCCTTCCTTGTCTTTCTCACCATTCTCAAGCTTCAGTTTTTTCCTAACAAGTACTTTTGGGCTTCATTTTCCATGGTAACTGCCTCCGAGCTTGGCCTGGTGAAGCTTTCTACCTAGTGTGCTTTGGCGAGCTCCCCCACCTGGCCTTAGACGGCAATGTCACCAAAGGCAGTAGTGGGCTCTGTAAATATTTTACAAAGATAAACAAAGATGAATATGTCTAACACTGAGGTCCATGAAACCAAGGTAAGATTTTTCTTCATACGTATCTAGCACTCACTCAAAATAAGGGAGCACAAAAAGATGGATTAATATGAATGAAAACCAGCACAGACAACAAAACGACAGACCCATAGATATTTGGAGAGTGAAGTTTTCCAGAAACGTAGTATGTGTCAAGTATTATAATAAGCTGATAAAAGATGGAAGCCAAACTTCAAATTCTCAACAAGAAACTGGAATCTTTAAAAAAGATATCACAAGCTGGGTGGCTCAGTTAGTAAGCATCTGCCCTCGGCTCAGGTCATGATCCCGGGGTCCTGGGATCCAGCCCTGCATCCCATCCGGCTCCCTGCTTAGCAGGGAGCCTGCTTCTCCCTCTCCCTCTGCTGCTCCCCATGCTTGTGCTCTCTCTCTCTCTGTCAAATGAATACATAAAATCCTTAAAAAAAAAGGGAAAAAAAGGCTATCACAGATTTAAGAGCAAAATATAAAAAAAAAAATAACATGTCTTGGAACTAAAAAACACAACTCCTGAAATTAATAACTCAATGTATGGGTGTACCAAGAGATTAGATATAACCAAAAGAAAGTTTGTACATTGGAAGATAAGTCAGAACAAACCATCCAGGGTGAAAGAGGCAGAAGAAAGAACAAGAGGAATAGAAAATCTAACATACATTTAATCAAGGTGTGAGAGAGGAAAGAGAGAATGGTCAGAAGCAAAATTTGGAAAGATAAGGGCTAAGAATATCCCCAAACTAATAAAAGACATCAATCCACAAATTCAAGAAGCTCAATGACTCCTGAGCAGGCTAATAAAAAAAAAAAAAAAAAAAAAAAGTCCCCTCAAGAACTATGAAGGATCTAAGATAGTATTTTATTTGCAATGTAGTAAGTTAGCCTGCCATAGTTTCTTGGCTGCTCACAGAACACATGAGCCTTCTGGGTCAAAGGCTTTCTTTCCTGTCAGAGGACTTTATTATTCATGGCACAGAAAGTAGCAAGAATCGAGTGTTTGCATCAATTCCTCTTGCCTCCAAGGCCCTCACGGCCAACACGGAGGGCCCAGGAGTATTCCACACACACAGTGGAGTTGTGTCACAGCTGAGGAACTCCAAGCTTTAGGAGTCCAAATCTTTTGTAATGGTCAGTAAGCTGGCCTAAACTATGCCCTGGAGGGAGACCATTATCATTTTACAAACCTGCTCTCTGCTCCAGAGAAAGACATTGATCTCTATTTCCCAAGGCTATGTACTGTACAAACATCCTTGAAAGGACAGTCTAGGGAAAAAAAGCAGTAAGTGCCTCTACTTAGAAGAAGAGCACAGACTCAAGAGACCCATGGAGAATTACGAGCCAACATCTTCACCCTTCATTTCTGTACCATCCTGGCTTCTGGCTGATTTTCCCATGAGTATGTCACTCTGTCAGCCACTGTGACTAATTTGAAGACTCAACAGAAGCTTGGACAGAGGCTGGGACCAAATCCATCCAATTTGTCTCATACAAAGTGAAAATAAGGCTACTATTTACCAGACTCTAAGCAGCGGGATGAGGAAAATCTTGCAGCACTGACGTCAACCATTCCCTCCAGAGTCCTGGACCCAACCAGCTGAACAACTCCCATAAGCCATTGGTGCCTGTCTTCTTGTGCCAAGGTAGTTTTATCGATCACTTTAGCTAAAGGGAGGGACAAAT